TCTTAAGGAAAATTAAAGACTATCTATATTGTTGGAAAATCTGGAAAAAAGTACCTAATGGAAATACGTACATGATAAAACCCTCGATTCCTTGTTCGTCTAACTCTATGTTCTTTCCGAAAAGACCTATCACATAATATTTTATTTGGTTTGTAGAGCATAAGTATACTGTGGAAAAGACTAGCAAGAAATTTTTCATATATACTTGTACTCTACTATTTTGAATGGATTATTTATATGAAGTGGGTAATTACTAAGTTCGTATTAAATGCTGCTAAGAACGCTTTCTGCTTCGTTTATCAAAATGTTTTCGTATCTAAATCCTCTTTAGCTTATGTGCTTTTGTGTTTTTGTTATTCCACTGAAATTCTTGTGCATGCAGGTGCTTATCATGTTATTCTGCAAATCGTTGTGAGAAGTTTGATTTACTCGATTTGTGATTGTCTTGTTTGGGTCTAACTTTGCATTGACTTGAAGAGCTGACAACGTCAGCGAGTCAGTCACGCAGCCATTAATTGTACCAGAAAGCTAATTAGCCCGCCTGCACATTTCCTCGTTTGTCATAATTGATTTGAAAACGCATCTGAATTGCCCGAGTGACCCCAATTTGAAGACCAAGCGACCTAAGAGTAATGACATGCTGATGTACAGAGAGACGGACAAATGCAGACAAATATAGTATGTATATAGACACACATACACACACAGACGCACCCACATTCAATAACAGACACTGACATTAGCGCCTAAAAGCATTGAAATACATACGAGTATGTGTGTGCGTGCCAAAGATTTCAGTCTGACAAGATCAAATAAATACACATGGAGTATTTTCCATTTTCCAAACGCAACACCAAATGTTTGTGCATTAATAAAATATATTTGGGCCAGAGTTCTCGTTTATATACGAGTACAATATTTCCACAATATAAGATGCGTCGAGCAGGTTCAGCGAACTGTTGACAAGCGAGAAACATTCAAAAATATGCAAGTGCACCATCTTCCCAGCAATATACAACAACAGACATCGCAATAACTGTATTTACAGTCAAGCTTGTCTATAAAGATTCGTAACTTTGTTTCATAAATATGGAAGATAGTTCTATTTTTTTTCCTGCATATTTATTTATTTTATTATTATTATTAATTTTTTCCAAAAAAGAAATTCCTAACAAGTCGTAAGAATTTTTGATTGTAAAAATATTATATGAACTTTCCAACTCAAAATTAATAGAATCAGAATCAATAGAATAATCATTTTGAAAAAACATGTGTATGTTGTCTGTCTGCCTTAAATGGTCACAGAAAGTATTTTTTTATTAACATAAGGAGATTTCACAAACTGAAGAACATCTTCGTATGAGTGTTCATTTTATTGAGCCTCTACTGTGCAACAACATTCTCAGCTACAACGACAATGTAGAGACAATGCTCGCGTTGACAATTTTTAGAAACATTTCAACGTTTCCCGCTGCCGATACTCTTTCGTCTTCTTCTTCTCAGTTTATTTTCAAAATTGAAATTGTATGCGCTGCAAGGCAGCAGCAACAATAGCAACAACAACAACCACAACAACACGTAAAATGCTGGCCCAGCAACAGTAACAATAATAACAATAACAACACAGCAGCAGTAGCTGAACAGCCTCAATAAAAAGCAAACGAAGCAGAAAGAGAGAAATTGTCATGTGCTTGCAGTTTGTCTTGAGACAACAGGACATCTCACTCGTCCTTCTCTCTCGCACTCGCACTCTCCATCATCTGCCTTCATCAGCTAGCCCTATCAACAAACACTGTTTTTTGTTCATGCTGTTGTTGTTGTTGTTATATTACTTCGTGTGCAAGTTTTAAAAAATTTGGTGTTGGCAACAATGTGACCAAATATTTACTTTCCTGCTGACCATTTGAGCTCGGTTAACAGCCAAGAACAACAACTTGCAATGGAAAAGGGGGAGAGAGATGGGAGGCGGCTGTTTCTTTTCAGGACTGCCAATTGACAGCTTGACTTCATTTATTTGCCTTGCATTAGAAGCTGCTGCCTGGCCTACTGAGGAATGTCGCCCACAATTGAAAATTCCTTGCCCCAAATCTAGCCGCAATTCCGCAAAGTGAACTTGTTGTCGGCTCTGGCTTTCACCTTGTTACCGCACCTCATCTATTGTTCTTTCCTCTTTTAATTGTTAGTGCCTTGCCTTGCATAACTGGGCTTAAAAGTGTCTTACACACAAACACACCAACTCTGTTTACGGTGGAAGCGTGCGGAATTAGTTCACGTAACAGGTTGAATTCACTATCTTTTAAGTGTTTCTTAAATAAAACTATTCCTTTCTAAAATAAGTGAATAAGTAATATTGTTTCTGGCTTTGTTACAAATCATTTCAAGTTGTTTTAAATTTATTAATCGTTTTTAGAGGAATCGGATTCTAATTAACACTTTTCGATTTCTTTTTTAACGACCACCAAAAGCTCCTTCTTAACTCACTAATTTTCTGTCGAGTAGAACGAAAATTTGATCGAGTTTGTTTGGTAGTTTCGGGTGGCGTTGGTTATTCCAATGCATTTGTGTACAAACATTTTCCGCATACAACATTTTCCAGAGCTTTTGGTGATTCTTCAATATTTGAGCTACAAACAGACATCAGAAACGATTGTTTTAGTTTATTCAAAAAAGTGGATGTTGAAAAGTAAAAAAGACGAATGAAGAATGTTCTTATAATCCCAAGTCTTTCAAGTTCTTCGGAATCTTGACATCTCACTCATCCGTCTGATCTCACTGAAGAGAGAGTGGCAAAACGGGAATAAATTTTCTTCTGCGAAATCTGAATTATATATGCATATACATACACGTATAGCATACAATATATTTGTCACTCACACACATACCCACACATACATACATACATACATAGTATATCTTCACATGCCCCTCACATCTGTTTATTGCCATTTGGACAGCAACTTCCGTTGCTTGTTCGCTGGCTCCCTTAAAGCTGTGGGCGTCTTGCATTTTGTTGCGTTTTGTTTCCATTTTCCTCTCTCTTTGTCTAATTTTCCCGACGCTTTGTTGTGGTTATTCAAACAATTATTTCTGCATTTTCATTGTAAATTGTCTCTTGTTTGCATTTGTCTTTCTTTTTTTTTTCACTTCAATATTTTCCCTTGTGTTATTTGTTGCCAGCAAAAGTGTGTGTTGTGTGTGTGTTTTTGTCGTTGTTGTTGTTATTGTTGTTGCTATGTGAAATGAAAATGCACTTCAGTTTTTGTGCTCTCTGCTATCTTTCAACTTGTTTGCATATTCTCTTGGCTTGGTTGCCTCTTAATGACATTTTAGGTTCAATGCGTCCTTTCTTTCTTTACTTTTTCGACAGCTTCTAGTTTTTTTTTTGGTTTTTTTTTTTTTAATTGGCAGACTGTTCTATGTAGTTTTAATCACACGCTAAAGTTCAGCTGCAAACTATATATTAAGATTTTTGGTTAAAGTTGTATTTATGTTTTAACAACTTGCTATTCAATTTAAAGTTTTGTTCATGACCCAGAAACTTTGGCTAATTTATACATTACTTAGCATTTCAACACATTTTTTTTCCCTTTTCTTGAACTTGTATACTTTGCTCATTAAGTGTCTTTTGTAGATGTTCTTCTGATGCTTCTCTCTTCTTTGGCAACGCAATTTTCCTCATTTTTCATTAATTTTTTTACTTTGGCATTTCGCACATGGCACAATATTTGCAGCTCATTATAAATTGTAGCAACGCCAGCTCTTTAACTTTTTCACTTCTTATTCTTTCCTCGAATTCTCATTCCCATTGATTTAATTGACGTTTTTGGCGTTGATTGCAGAGGCCATTGAATCCCGTCCCTTGCCCTTGCCCCTCCCCGCGGATTGTCTATGCTCTGTGCTGACCTTCACTGCTTTTCTCTACTTACTATGCGTTTCTATGTGTGCACTTGGAGAAAAGACGGACTCATTTGCATCTTAAAATTGGGTAAATCGTCTAAAACTTGGCAGAAATGGCGGATTCTGGAATTCCAAGAGGAATCTTAACTTATAGATTGATTGGGATTTTTTTCATCTTCTTAAAAGTTAATTTAATATATTCTTGTATTTGTTTTTCTTTTAATTTAAAATGTTTATAAATTATTAATTTTTAAAATTTTTATATTTAAAAAAAAAATAATTTTTATATTAATAATTTTTATATTTTTTTAACATTTAATATTTAAAAAAATATTAATTTTTTTTTGGAATTTTTGATTATTTAAAATTTTGATTTTTTTTATGTTTGTTTGTTTTGAGTTTTGTTTATAAATCTAGAAATCAGTGTCAAGGTGCTTCAGTAAATTTTTATTTTAAAATGACACATATAGCCACCTACATTTTACCTTGATCGCACAAAATTCACCCCCCAGTTTTTCCCCCTGATGGAATAATAAGTACATAGATACTGTAAAGTATTTCAACTCCTGATGTAGAACTACTGCTCTAATCAAGCCTATAGCTCTTGCGTAGCACATGTATTTATTATTATTATTATTTTTAAATTTTCCTAAACATGGATATTTTTTGTAGTGCACCACTACATACTATATATGTACTTGTAATTCAAACAAATTTTGTGCCAAAGCTTGTTTACTTTAATGCGCGCAGCTCATCGCACATACGCCTTGTTATTGTTGTGCGCTGGCCTTCTGTGCTGAGCAGACGCCACACCACTACACAGTCCCTGACTCCCCACTCCCCACATCCACTCCCTAGATCCACGACAACTACGCAGCAAGGCGTTAAAATTTCATGCAGCCGCAAGCGTTTTTAATTGAAAACGCACGTACGACTAATTGGCATTAAGTATACGCCAGGGTGCACTTGAAGTTGGTAGAGCTGGTGGAACTGGTGTGTGTTTGTGGTTAAACAGTTGCTAGCAACTGATGAAGAGCAGCACAGAGCAGTGGGCAGTGGGCAGTGGATGGTGGTGAACAATGTTGGCAGTTGGTTTTAGCGTCATGTGTGCTCGGGTTGTTCCGCTGCTGTTGCTGGGATTGTTTGGAAGTAAGGCGCTGATTCATGTCAGCCACAAAGAGGATGCCCTGGCCTTGGCACAGTTCACTTGCCACATTGTCCAGCAGCATTCCGCACAAGTTGCCAACATTTATCGCTGCGTGACTTGCGCTTCGGCTGGCCATTGGGAACACTTGGCCCTGGAGCAGGCCCTGCATCAATGCATTAGCTCGCAATTGCCGAGCTTGGTGCGCAGCATTGAAGCTCACGAAACCGAGCCAGCACGTCACACGGATAGCATCAATATTTTCCACCTGCCCGCAGATAGTGCGGGCTTGCCGCTCGTCCAACGCATTCTGGCCATGTTGAATGAGCAACAGCCCAGGAAGCACCTGCACAAATACATCTTTGTGTGGCCCGGAGCCAGTGTCGAGGAGCTACACACGCTCTTCACTGGCTGCTGGCAGCGACAGCTGCTCTTTGGGCTGGCCGTTGTACGGACGGATGTGGTCTATGACTTTGAACCGTTTGCCGCAGGCGGACTGCAGGTGAGGGAATTGAAGAGGACCGGCTCGCGATACTTTCGCGATAAATTGCGCAACATGAACGGGCATGAGGTGCGCTTCTCGATGTTCCAGGACACTCTACGCGCTCTGCCATTGGCCAACACGACGAGCGCTGGATTTACACAAATCGATGGCGTCATAGCCCGTACCATTGCCTCAAGTTTGAATGCCACAGCCCGCTATGTCCTGCCCGCAGACGAAGAGAACTACGGTCGCTGTCTGCCCGGCGGCAAGTTCAGTGGCGTGCTCGTGGACATCATGGGCGGACACACGCACATTGCGATGAATGCGCGCTTCGTCCTTGAATGCATCGCACCGCATGTGGAACAACTGTATCCATATGATCGTCGAACTATATATCTGGTGGTGCCTGCGGCCGAAATGCGTCCCGAGTATCTAATCTTTGTGCGTGCCTTCCGTCGCTCCCTCTGGTACCTCCTCTTGGTCACCTTTCTGGTGGTTATGGGCGTTTTTATCTGCCTGCAGTATGCGCTTGAGCGTCTGCCCGGAGTGGCGCGCTTCCATCACGCACGCTGGTTTGAGATTCTCGAGATGTGCGTGAAGACGCAGTTGGGGGAGCCGGTGGTACGCTTTTCACGCGTCAGCTCGCTGCGTCTCTTTCTCATTGCCTGGATTATGTTCAGCTATGTGCTCACGACCATATATTTTGCCAAATTGGAGAGCAGTTTTATTCGACCGACCTTTGAACCACAGCTGGATGCCCTAGATGAGCTTCCGTCACACAAATTGCGAGTCTATGGTATTGACAATCTGTTTACTGCAATAAAGACGACATTGGCGCCGCGACACTATGCGGCATTGACTAGAAATTATAAGGAATTGCCCCTCAAATTAAGTTCCTCTCCATTTGCCTGGAATATCAGTCGGCGGCACCGGCGCGGTATCGCCTTCATCATGCGTGATGAGACGGCTCGTGAGTTCTTGGCCAGCACATACAATGCCGAACTTGATCGCCCGGCCTTTCACATTGTCAAGGAGTATCTACGCTCCATGTTGTCTACTTACATTTTGCCCCTGGGCTCGCCATTTCACTATAAATTCCAGTTCTTGGTCAGTGCCTTCAATGAGCATGGCTTCCTGGACTACTGGCAGCAGCTGGATGTCATAAGACGTGAGCGTGCCTCTTCTCAGGCCGACGAATTCTTCGAGGACCTGGGCGATACAGATACAGATGTCTCGTCATCAAACGATATCAACGAGCACAAGGAACTGCGTAAAAAGCATGTCGCCTTGAGCGTAGACATTCTTCAGGGCGCTTTCTATTTATGGTTGTTTGGCATTCTTCTCAGTGTCTGCGGTTTTGTGGCGGAGCATATAGTTTGGTTCTTAAGCAACTGTAAACGTGTGGTTCACATAATTTAGAATATAAGTATATCCCTTCACTAGTATCTGAATATGTGTTTAATGGAATTTTGATTTGTGTCGGAGTGAGCAGTGAACATGTGTCTAAGCTTGCGGAAACTTTGTCAAGCCTGTCGAGGTCAGTAACAAGATGATTAATAGTATAAGTTATAGCTCTTAAGTACACTCCCCTAAATGAGTTTTCTTCAACAAATCAGAATGAAAGGTATTTACAACATTCAATTATTTAGCTGCTGATAAAAGATCACATCCCCAGATTTTGAAAGCTTATATTTGAACAAAAGCGAGAAAACTGTCGCTATAGATGATACTATAATGGAGAAATCTAATAAAATTACAATTATGTCTAATAAACGCCTCCGACTCCGACTGCATGGCCAGAGATGCAGAAGTTGGCTGAGATGCTTTTAGAAAAGACAGAAAATATTTCCGTTGAAAGCAGATGTCAATTTTTATTATAATTTAGGCATATATATATATCCGAAAAGTTGTACACCTATCAAGGAAAAGGGAAAGATAATTTCGAGCAATTAAGACGACCTTAAAGGAAACCAGAATCGACCCTAGCATATTCTGAAGTTTCGACAAAACCTGCCTCAGAGAGTATTGGTGCAATAAATTTTATTTTAGTTAAATACAGCTGCAGTTGCCAAAATTGGACACGCCCCGAACGACGCACTTCAAACGAATCTTGCATGCGTCTTGTTATTTTTAAGTGTCATGTCTAGAGGAGCTTGCTGCACTTCGTTTGGCCATTCCATGTGGCTCTCACAAATGGTTGTATTTATAGAATGACCAGCGCCAGGCGCTGACAGCTTTCGCAGCCCACAGGCCCACGTGTACCGTCTGAGAATTCGTCAGCAGCTACACCTACGAGGAATTGGCAATTCTTGGCCCACTTGGCCAATGAAAGCTGGGAAGACGCACACTCCGCCCTTCCCAACCTTCCCAACTCCTCCGAACGCTCCAGTTGCCTGCCAGCAACCACATACGAGTACATACTTGTATATGTGACAAACACTAAAAATAAATAGACCACAGTGGAATGTTTTTTTTACACAATTGACAAACGATTGCTACTTTCTTTTGTGAACTATTTTTTGGGGAAACGGACAGAAGTCGCTTAAGAAATTGAAATGAATTTACCACACGAGTGACATCATTTCAGGTATTTACTGTCCAGTCAAAATGATTGATGGAAAATGCTAATATTATTTCGGTTCGAAAACGTTTAAATAAAAGATTAAAACAATGGGTTTACAAATAATCAATGAAGTATTTCATTAAATAAATGTGTGTTTCTAATTGAAAGTTTTGCCAGCAGCTCCTCTTTTATTTACATATTTCGCGTATTGCATTGGCTCCTAAAAATATATCGTATTCATGTGATTGTTTCTTTTTCACACATCGCCCACTGTGCGATAGAATTGATTGGCGAAATAGCTCCCCCTGCTGACAAGGCGACGCTATTAAAGTCAGTTTCTATTTGTGAAAAAACACCACACACATTCCGGCCGAATAAAAAACGAGCAGAGGAACTCATAAAAATAATGCGATTCGTGAACCAAAATTCAAAATTGCACAACATTTAGTTAATTGACTAAATGGCGGACGCACATTAATTAAACAATTCATTGAAAATGTCAAAATACTACAGCGTGTGGGCAATCGAGACCGGGTGCTAAATGTTGTCGCTCTGACGTGCGTGAGTCACGACTGAGGCGTGATTGAGGGCGATTAAGTCGATGCGCTCTCCATCTCTCTTTCTCGACGATGCTCGGAATGTGTTTGGCATTGGAAAATCATTTGACGACTATTTTGGATTTGCTTCAAAATTCTAGATCAACAAAATTTTTTGCCTGCCAGAGACACACGAGAAACGCAATTAATTGCTTAGCAGCCTAGGCCGGATAGGGAACATCCTGCTTGACAACTTACACAATAATACCCATTTTCGAAATTATTCCAAATGTCCTCGAGTAGGAATCGCGAGAGGAGACGCGAAGGTGCGACGGGTGGTGAGAGAGGGGGGCGGCTAGACCAGAAACGCAGCGACACTAGCACTAGATCCCGAAATAGCACTTCACAGAGCAGAGATCGGAATCGGGACTCGCGTGATCGGGATAGAGATGCACGCAATCGTCCGCGTTCCTCCAGAGATGTACACGATGCGGAAGATTCTCCCTACACCACGGAAGGCGGCGCGACACTATTGACCAACGACTTTCTGCTGATGCTGGAATTGTCGCCACTGCCGGAGGAGGCATTTGCCCGGAACACGCTCGAGTACAGACAGGCCTGGCTCTGGCTGAACAAGCTGAGTACCCTGAGCTGCAACACATTGTATGAGCGACGCATGCGCAACATGTACATGAGCCATCTGAGTGTCTGCCTCAACCAAAAGCGACTGTATGGAATCTTTTTGCAGGTGCCGCCCATAGAGCTGGAATGGGTGGACTTTACGGAGACCACTGCGGCGCAGGCAGTGTCGCGCTCCATGGCACTGGCTGGCTCCATGATGGCTGGCAATATGACGCAGCACCAACAGCCGAGCATGAACATGGGAATGGACTCGTGCTACAATCAGCCCCAGATGCCGCAACAGCAGCAGAGTAATCTTTATTCTGGTGGCCCTGCCATGGATAGCAGAGCATCAATGCCATGTGGCCCTGAAATGATGGGCGCGCCCAGCTCCTTCTATTTGTCCGACAATTTCCGTTACACGGGCGGTGAGGCGGACAGCAAAGCCAACACGAATAAATCGCCCGATTCCAATGCTGAGAAGATGCAGCCCAGGCAGGGTCGACGAAAACATCAGAGATATATGCTAACCAGTTCCAGCGACAACTTGACGGACTCACAGATTCGCTCGAGATCCTCGCCACCTAAATTACGCGACACCTACAAGACCCGAGACTTTTCGAAGCTGCAGCAGACAAAGACACGAGAGTCGAGAGAACCACAGCATCCATTCGAGACGCGGGAATCATCCAGGGCTCGTGAGAGACTCACGACACGATCACCATCCCCACCCTGGAATGATAAGATGCTTCAATTATTTGGACCGCGGTTTCCCACTGATGAAGAGGTCGCCAAACGAACTCCAGAGGAGCGGCAAAGGCGCTGCGATATGCGTTACTTATTGGAATTGGTAAGGTCGGAGTTGCGCGGCCATATCGGGCCGGAAAACTGCTTTTTGGAGTACGAAGTGGAGCGGTATCGTAAGTTCTATGAAGAACATAAGCACGAAGAAAACCAATTCAAGGCCCACATGGGCTCGAATGAGAATGACGAACGTGTGTTTTTGCTGCTGAACATGCAGAACGATTTGATCAAGCTGTTGTCGGAACGAGATTAATGTACTCTAAACCTTATTATACACTATATGTAATGTTTGTTAGTAATGCTTTGGAACCCAATTCTACAATAATTTTCAAACGATTGGGGTTGCCTAATAAATAAAACGAATACTTGATTAAAATAAGAAAGTATTGTAATTACTTTACATGTAGATAGAACTATGCATTAATTATGTGATCGCCATTGCTATAATCTGTACCTTAAAGGTAACAGATTATATGAGGGTTGTGAAGGGAAGTGAAAACTTTAACAGGCAGAAGGAGGCGTGGCAGACCCCACAAGGTATATTCTTGTTCTGCATGACAAGACGAGTCGATCTAGTCTTGTCCGTCTGTATGAACGTCTGCATCTCAGAGACTATAAGAGCTAGAGACACCAAATTTTACCAACAGATGCCTTATGTGTTTGTTTGTTTTAATTTTTAATGCATCCCACCTCCTCCTCTATTAGGGATTTTCCGTAACGCCGTTCGTATAATCACTTATATCTCGGAGACTATAAGAGCTAGCGACAGCAAATTTTAGTGCAGCATGCAATAGATGCGATTAGTTGGATACTCATATTGATAAACGACTTCAAATCTTGGTCACTAATACCTATATTTCTAAATCTTCAATACTCGACGATCATTCATTTCTCATAACGCTCGGTACTTGCAGGTCGAACCAGCAAAACAGAGGAGCAACAACATTCCATCACGTCGCCGCAGCGCGTCGTAGCCAACAAGCGTAGCAGCATTACTGTCAATATGCCAGCCGCTGGACTCGGACAGCGTCCACCCAGCATTATCTCGACGACGAGCAATGATGAGGGTGGCTTTAACGAGCCTTGTCCAGAGCTGAAGGCAAAACTGCAGCCTGCCGAGCAGCCACACAGTCTCAATTATGTTGATGTGGGCTATCGTCTCAATCCGGACGGTAGCGAGGCTCGAGAGGTTTACGGCTCTGAGGCGGAACTCTATGATACGGCCAAGGTTGCAGATATGCAGCGCAAATTTCATGGCGCCAATGGCTTCGGTCAGGAGTCCAGCACAGTCTATGCGATCATCAAGCCAGAGCTGCAGGAGCCGGCGGCACGCACGATTCTGCAATCGCCTACAGCCAAGGCGGGTGAGGCCAGTGATGGCTCCCCATTGCATCGCACTGTTTACAACTCGCCGCCAGTGGGTGTGGTCTCGCCAATAAGACGACGCAATAGCCATCATAGCGAGCACAACAATAGCAATGCTGGCAGTGCGAAGTCCACTCCACCCATGTCACCCGCACGGACCATTATGGGTAAGGGCATTGCGCCCATCGCCTCCATTGATGCACACGAAGAGGAGGAGGGCTTGGATGAGGATGAGGACGATGTGCAGTTGGCGGTGGAGTATGTGGAAGCGGTGAACGAATGTGCTCCTGTCCTGCCAGAACGGCGCTCCATGCAGGCGCATGCCTTGGAGCTGCAGGACTTGGAGTATGCCGACACCAGTGCTGGCGAGGATGAAGATGATATGATGCAGCATTTAAAATACGGCGAACTCGACGCACAGCTCATTGACGATGTGGTTGATGAGGTGCTCAAGGTGCAGGCAACCCCTGCAGTTGTAGCTCCTGCTCCTGCTCCTGCTCCCGCTCCTGCTGCTACAAATATGCCGCGAGATGACAGCCTGCCGGACGCCATGACCGCCGCCGAGGCGGAGCGATTGTTGAGCTCAAGGTAAGTGTCAGTTTAATGCCACATTTTCAATTTGTATTCGTAAAAATGCATTTACATACGTATGTTTTTAATTAGATCTTTATGTTGTATGCAAGTCTAGTAAGTAGTTCAATAACGTTTTAAGTTATAGTTTAAGTTTACGCATGTCTGGGCCGCTGTCCATATTCATATATGTATGTATGTATGTATATACGAGTATATTCTTGTTGGACGGCAATTTTGAAAAGATGTTGAATGATTAATTCGATCTAATACGATATTTATTGGCACTATGTCTTATCATTTAGGAAGCTATTTCATTTGGCGCTTTAATTATTAATCATAGCATGGATGGCATTTTTATTTACCTTGCATAAATAATTTAATTGTTTACCTTAAGCTGTCTGTAGACTCAGTTGTTTACCGTCAGACTTTAAAGCATTTGCGGGAATCCCCCCCACTTCTTTTTCATAGTTCTTTGTTCTGCATCATCTTTATCCATGACACGCAGTAAAGTTGTTTCCAGCACCTCGTTCACTGACATATTGTGCAAATATTTGTCTTGTCCTTCTCTCTCTCTCTGTCTCTCTCTCTCGCTATCTCTTCTACGGGCACTTGGTTGCAGCCTTGCGAGCAGCAAGAGCTATGCATGTCCTTCCATTCAAAGTCTGTGCTATTCATCATCATACCCACATAAACATTGTTGTTGCTGTTGTTGTCGTACGTAATTGTAAGCTAATCTAGTGGCTGACGCATTCCTGCAGTTTACTTTACACATTGCAGCACACAAAGCTAGTTTTTGTCTAGTCTCCAAGCAAATGTGCAGTAAGTCTTGCCAGGAAGTAGCAGCAAGAATGTGCGTACAGTACACGCTTCAAGGATAGAACTATCTATTCCTTATAACAGAATGGTAATATAGTTTAGTGTACATATCAGTCGTATAGGCATGTACGCCGGTCCGTCCGTCTGTTCGTCTGTATGAACGCAAGGACATCGGAAAATATTAAAGGTAGAATCTTCAAACTTCGTGTATGCGGTCTCCTAATTCCAAGGAATGACAAGATTATCATTTTTCTTTCCCACTTCCTCCACTCCTTCCCGATATTAGGAATTTTTCAAAACCGTGGATACATACTCCTAATTCTTTAAGTTGAATCGTAAGTGATATTCTAGTTGTTTTTTTTTTGACTTAAATTGTTTTTAAATTAATTTCATATTCGGCTCCTATTTTAATTATAAATATACTTCTGCTATAACTTCTTGCCTTTATAATTATAAGTTCTGTTTCCTTTAAAATGTAATAAAAGAAATTCTATACTATTTGAACACAAAATAATTTAATTCGATCATCCACTGTAGCAGAAAGGGTACAAGTTTGGCTTTCTTCACACTTTGTAGTTACTTTGTGGATGCGGCTCCGCTTCTTTACAACAACAGTATGCAGTTGGCACACATTCTCAAGTTGCTAGCATTAACGAGCGTGTCCGAAACTTTGAACTGCTTTGAACTTTAACCCTTTGGCCATGCATCAATTGGCTTAATGGTGTCATTTGAGGCAGACTTTGCTTTGATTTCCAGGTATGGGTGTGGTCCACCACTATCTGTCTATCAAAGAGACGGAGATTGTGTATTAAGTAGATTTCTACAGTCATTCATTCTTCATTTGAACAGTAGCCACACTGCAGTTTGTTTCTATGAGGTTCGCTTGTGTGTCTGCATTGACTTGCCATTGATTTATGTATCCTGCGGCTTCCTCTGCTCCTCCCTCCCTCCCTCCCTTTTGCTCTGCAGCGTAATTTTTACGTGCCAGCCTGTAAAAGTATTAAAATGCAATTTTCAACACTACTATGGCTTTCCCTCGCTCTTTATTTTCATTTTTATAGCTTTGTATGTTGCGCTTAGTTACGCGCGTTTATTTCGGTAATTTATCATGCACCTACATTGGCAGGCATTGAAAACTACAACAATAGGGGTAGTCACAAAATAGATGGATAGTGGCAGCAATACTTGTATATAGTATATCTTTAAAATAATTAAGCAACTGAAAGAACACAATTTTAATGTATTCCTAAAGCATATTTGTTGTTTAAAGAAATCCTTGTCATTTGAATTTTTTTTATTTTTATACCCTGTACCCAAAGGGTACAAGGGTATATTAGTTTTGTGCGAGTGCACATGGAACACACAGAAGGAGGCTTGGTAGACCCCACAAAGTATATATATTCTTGATCAGCATGACAAGCCGAGTCGATATAGCCATGTCCGTCTGTCCGTCTGTCCGTCTGTCCGTCTGTCTGTCCGTCTGTCTGTCCGTCTGTCTGTCTGTATGAACGCAAGGATCTCCGAAAGTATAAGAGCTAGAATAACCAAACTTGGTATACAGATTCTCCTGAGACCGAGAAAGGACGAGTTTGTTAATTTTTTCTGATCCGCCCCCCCACTCCCCCCCTATTACTGATTTTCTATAACTCCCGTAATTCTTGGAATTTTGAACTAAAATTTGGTAGTCACATTAGGTTAGTAATTATATATCCGTATACCAAGTTTCATTATGATAGAATGATCGGAAAGAAAGTTATAGCCATATAACCAGGCCCAATGCACACATACATACATATGTACAAGTACACAAACACGCATAAGGCACGATTCTGATGTAAATGTAAATGTATCTATGCATGCATGGAATATTTTATATTTAATTTAGTTAATTAATTAAATTAATTTAGTTAATTAATTAAATTAATTTAGTTAATTAATTAAATTAAATTAATTAATGAAATAAATTAAATTAATTAATATAATAAAATTAATTTAATTAATTTTTTGTGGGGTGGTACAGGGTATTTAAGAGTTGAGCCTGCTCGACTTTAGCATTCCTTTCTTGTTTATATTAAACTTAGCACCAGCAAGAGCGTTGCTAGAAAAAATGAGATTTACAGCAGAAATATTACTATCATAAAATAAACTTTTCTCTGACCTAGAAAGAGGCTGACATCTTAGGAATAAATTAATTTGAAAATGTTTCCATACCGGCTGCATCAAAAACAAGATCTTAAAATGGAGCTGAAGTTAACTATATATACTCTGTCTATTAATATAAAACAGCATTTAAAATGAACTTAACATGAACTTTGCACTCAAACGCTGCTCAAATTCTTAAAAAATTGAAATCAAGGCGTATACTTGTCATTTAGGCGATGTTTGGGTCGCTAAATTCAAAAAATATCCTTACAAGCTGTACTCACAACTTTTCACTTAACTGTCAGATGAAAGAGTTGGGTAAGTGCCTGAAGTCGAGTGTTAATTGGTACGACGGATTAAAGCTTATTGAAAATTCGTTACTCCTTCAAATTGAAAACAGGCGAGTACCCCCACTGTGAGGAAAATCCGTTCAATGCATTGGCGCATTGGAAAAATTTGGATTTTAAGCGGATAGCTATGGAGCTATCTTGGATGCACCCTAATGCATTTCTGGATAGCAGCTACTCCGTTATCAACTGCAGTTGAAACAGTGGCAGTGTGGCTAGTGACTGATACGTGTGTGTGTGTGTGTGTGTGTGTTGGTGTTGGTATTCTGTGTTGGGCCTCTGTCTCATTTCATTTGCGTTTATTTGGCCTCCGTCGGTTTGGTTGTTGTTTCGTTCTTTTGTTCGTTTTCGACACGCAACTAACAAATTTTGTGCACGAGTATTTACGTAAATTTTTAGCAAAATCGAGCAGTTCTTCGTTCAATACTCGTGCTGTGCTGCATACTTTGCGGCGTCCAAAACGTCAATTATGAGACGCCGACTAAACCTTTTCGCTTTTTCGGCATTTCTGTGTGTTGTTTCGTGCCATGCACAGCGCTCTAGTTGAACATAAATCCATCAAATTGGAAGCTAAACACACACCAACTCACACACACACACACATGCATGCCTTGAAACTTACAAGCGCAGCTATTTGCACTCAAAACCGCAAAACTCACATAGTGAGTGGGAATTCAAGTGTAAGCAAGAGAGACAGAGAGAGTGTGAGCGTTGAGTGAGTTTGAGAGTGTTTTGAGTTTGTTTTGTATCACAGTTGCTTTCAATTTGTACATCCTGCTTCGGCATACAGTAGAGTGAGAGAGGGAGAGCGCGCGCGAGTTAAGAGAGCGTGACGCGTGTGCTCTCTCGGTGTGTGTCGTTTTCACTTGCAATTGTTGTGCACTTTGCCAGCCATGCATCTCAGCCGTCACATGCGTGCCGTCCGTTCCGCAAGCAAAGTCGTCCTAAGTCGCCGCATTGCGCTCTCGTGGCCATTTTTATTTCACCTTAATTGCAAAGCGCGCACTTTTCACTCCGGCGTTGTTGGCTTGTCGTGTGTTGTCGTCTTGACGTGTAAGGAAATAAGTTTTTGCCAGCGACACAAACAAACAAACAAGCAAAATTCAGCGAACGTTTTAATTAACATTTTGCCGGAGCGGAAAAACAGAGCTGCTGTGTGACTTGTGTATATTTTCAATGTTCGTTCTCCCGTAAGAAGAGGTGAGCAAAATGGGCAAAATGCGTGCAACGGAAATAAGTTTTAATTAAAATGCACATTCTCTATAGTTCTTGCTCGTAGTATATACTACTATAGTGTTGCGTGATGACTTTTGATTGTTTGTGCAAGCAAGCAGTAGAAACAGAAAGTGTGCACAACTTGAGTTTATTGCGCATACGCCATGTGTGCGTGCTTTTTAAATATTATTCTTTTACAAATGACAAATATTTAATGTTTGCATGCATTCAACTTTTTGTTTGCACAAAAATTGGCATGAGTGGGATATAAACAGAATACTACCAGGAAGAGGCACGGAAAGTGCCATTCTACAATAGACACCGAAGTGCTTGTTGATGGCGCACTTGACGGCCAATTTTGTGGCCGATATGTGCACAGTTATGCATGTTAATGATGTTCGTCCTACGAATACCCATCGATGATGTCATTTATGCTTGCCTGATTGTCCACCTTGCAGGACTTGCTCTCAGGTTGCGCACATGCGAGCAATGCAC